CGGATAAATATCCGTGGAAACACTCGTTCTGGGAATACGAGCCATCGATTCGAGAGAGGCGAAGTGACCAACTCTCGTAAACCGCGACCGTCAGCGCTGTTGTGCAGACTTTCACCGCAAGCAGCCACCAGCTCCTCCTTGGTGTTTACGCATGCCCCATGAACTCGGATCGAAAGGCTGAGATCCCGAACAATTTTGCTCAGCAAGAAAATACTGAAGCCGCATACCCCGTCAAGATGTCCTTCGATATCTCGAATAAAGTGACAACTGAAACATGAGGCGGTACTTGTGAAGCTCATCATAAACGAGAGATTCAGCTACCATTAATCCCAACCTCCCGTCAAAATTAAACTAGGCTGCAAAGAAGTGTATTTTTCGAAGCGCATAAGGTATTGGCTCGAGTAGAACATACGGTTGATGAAAATTTCGGGGCTGCTTCCACCTTATGGACCCAAAGGACGAAACCATTCTTCGGTCGTCGGTGAGATCTCAGCATAATATGTTCCGCCAATCACATGGGGAGAATGAATTGTGGATACCATCCGTATTATCTATGATCAAGTACGTAAGTAGTTCCCCACATACATCTAAATATTGAATAAATGAGTGGTACTCGGATGTCCTACCGTCTGACGCGAAGGAAGGAAGCGGGTGAATCTAGAGGTAATCGAAGCCAAGGGCACTCGGTTACCACAGTTATCCATTCATATGTTGTCGTATCCGGAATGAACAAATTTACCTTACCCACCCATCACAATTTTCTTCCGTTATCTTGTTCCAGCCACATGATTGAGGTACTCACATGGGACTTATAAAGCTGTGACGAAATTTAAAAACGACAACTAACGGTATATTTGCATTTGTAGTGGGAAATTCCCCTTAACATAATACTTTCCTCTGGTTACCATTGGGGTTCTACTGGATTCTCAGGAAGACGCTGCAATACAATTCAGTTTACTCGAATATTGCTTAATGAGAGTTGTTTTGGCCACAGAAACTGCCTGTGCATGGCTGACTCACCCTAACAGATCGTGAAAATCCTACCCATAAAATGAATCATGTACATGGCAGAACATAGATCATTCAACGATGATGACTGTTTGAGAAGGAGACTCACGTCTGGATATATTCTACCGTTACCCCGTGCTGGACGAACATACGATTCTGCAAGCACTCAGAGATGTTGTTGAGGACCACCGTTTGGAGAAGGCAGAAGGGAAAAATCATGATAAACCTTCATTGCCTGACGTTGGGACATCAAAACTTGCAGATAAATAGATCATTAACCTTGTTTAATTTTAGTTAACAATATTTACCCGCACAAGCCGCCTTACTCGAGCAATCGGTACTGAACAGCACGTTAATCGTTACATACCACCCGTCTTTGTGTAATGCTACGATAATGACTGCGGAGAACTCTGAGGCTTCACATGCCGTGTGCTCAATTTATACAAAACCAGGGTTTCAAAAAATGAAGTTTGTGTATCTGAACGGGACTCCAGCACGGGTGTTCGCACTAGTTACGTCTGGCCGAACTGTATGCATGTGGCCGAAGTCAAAAACCCTAATAAACGATCATAAAATGCAGTTGACGAACCTGAATACCTTAGTGAGTATTTCAAACAAGACCGCTTTTCGGGGAGGACCCAGCACACAATACACTTTTTTGGTCAGACCTTCTTAGTGTTTCCTTTGAGTCTTTCTACTAGTCAGAGTTAATGAGGGGTGGCATTTACCTTAGACGGTAGCGTCACAGGAGCATTAACCGAACCTTCCAGTTGTGTGCTCCGTGATCACACGCGGATGAAAGGCTGGCGACCACCTGCCTAATTTGTGAGATCCTTCAGGAATCTATCATTATTGATCAACCTGAGTCAAGTGAGTCCTTTAGTTTGCTTCGTAAACATGGTTTATAATTAGCTGTTACTCTGCGATCGTTTGAGAGCAAAACGTCTAAAATGTGAAGCGCAGCGCCTTGTTCAAAAGAGGCAATCGTCTACCTAATGGCCAAACTATGGCACTGAATATGGGTTTCATCGGATGACCAAGAGGTTAAAAAACTAAGGTGATCGGCTTCAACGACCAAATCAGATTCCCTTGGTGATGATGTGGACGGAAGGTAGAGTTTTCAAGTGCGGTTGTTTTAGATTGTTTTCGGTGGCACCCAGTTATCTATGTGGAGAAATGGGCAAAATTTAGTCCACAATAAAAGGTACACCGGAAACGCTAAACAAAGGATCCGTTCTGAGGCTGATGCCACTTATGAGAATGTTGAAAACTCTAAATACAATAATATTATCTTGTAATCCTGAATATCAGTCCAACAGGACCATATTCGCCCGAACAGAATCACAAACAACATATTCCTTCGGGCCTTGCGCTTGAAAGTGAGTTTTTCAAATTAAGATGTGTCTAATTTATGAATAAAAATATCAAATGGTGTGCAAGGAATGGGGGAAAAATCTGAGCAGGACTTGGAAGACAACCTGTCGACGAATTTTCAGCAACCTTATGAGTAGTGCATTGCAAATATATAAATTGTGATGTGGTTTTAGTCAGGAGAAACGATCATTAATTGCACCAGTCTTAGATTTTAATGCTTCGTTATATAACTAGATGTCAGGATTGCTTCAGTACAGGTTCAGTGAGTCTCCACGTGAGTATGCGAGTTACTGACCTATACCAAGGAAAACGTTTAGGAAAAAATACGGTGTGAGCAGAAATCCATAAAACTCACCATCCGGTTTCAAATGCTCCTTTTTCGACATTATTCACCCCAGCTTTTCACCGGGCTTGTGCATTCAGAGGGAAACCTAACAAGAAGAACATTTCTACTAACCTAATGGCTCAAACTTCTTGCAGTTAGGCTGTGACAATTCAAAGCCTGACTGAGATCAGTTCGTAGCATTTTGAATGCTGAAGGAATCGGGTGGGATATTTTAAGAACATCAGTGCAAGTAGCTACACTACTGCATATCAGCACAACCAATAACTCATAGTACAAAATTCGGTGTTCGCGAAAACGGAAAACTTCTGTTCCAATCCGTATTTCATTCTTTTAAATTCCCATAGTATGATGAATTAAATGCAACATTTCAGTTTCACGTATCATATTAACACCTATCCATATCGTATCACCTCAAACAGAAGGATGATTTGTGAATGCCACCAACCGGCCTTCGATAGAGATATCATTAACTATCCATACTTTGCACAAACGAACTCTTCTGCGTACTGCTGAAAGGTGGGAGCGAGATGGACCAAGTGGTTAGATCGTGAATCTACTGACCGGACTGTCCGTGGTTCCAACCCGACCTCTGCCTCTCGACTTCCCCTGTCCAGACTTGGGCGACCTGGCAATATCCCAGCCCTCGTGCCTCCTTCGTGTGGCACGCACCTAGGCGCCGAAAGGGTGCTACAGCTGAACGACTGCTGAAAGATGACACTTGTATGATAGAATGAAAGGCACGTCCGTTGACCGTAACCGAAGTGTACAGGTAGCAAATTCGCTTGACCTTGATACAACGTTGGTTACAGTTGTGTAACTGAACAAGAGGGGCGCGGTCGCTCCCTCTGCTCTATGTGTGACCTCCGCCGTTCACGTCTGGTGTAACCTATAGGGAATTGATTTAATCAGGTGACAGATGACTCGCTCGAATTTTCAATTAGCGGCCAAGCAGATCAGTCGTTGTCTGATCAACAGCCGTTTACTTCACCGGAGCTGGCGCTACCTCGGTGAATGAAGTCAGCTGGGCGCTTATTCGTGATGAGCATTGAACTAGGTTCATGAGGTCGATGATCATATACAACGGACCAGAAAGGCCATAGTAGACTGAAGCGAATAGTTGGTTTTGCCACGGGAGGTTGTGTATTTGGAAAATGATCATCGTTCAAAGCCCTTTTGGTCAAAGTGGAGTGGTCTGCTAAAATCACTATCATCACAAAGGAATCGCTGAAAACATGGGTTGCCGGAATAAAGAGCCCAGTATATATTGTCATTTTTTTCTCGCACGCAAACTGGCATGTGACGGTAGTGCAAGTGCACCGTGTTCTATAAGTTGCAATCTGTTAAACCTGATGTTTACTCGTCTTCAGTAGGAGTTGTTAAAAAGAGAATTGCTTTCAAGATTTTCGAATAAACATCGCACTCAAACAAAGATACCAAACAGAAATTGATCTCTTGATGTAGTCTCTCTTGAGGAAGTCCAAATACGTGGAGCACGAGCAACAAGGTCATGCTTTGGAGTGGAAACGGATCACTCGTCACCCACAGTTGTTCACATTACGTGCCTCACTTGGCTTCCTTGGCCTGTCAAGAATCACTAAACCCATCATATTTCCTATAAGAAAACTGCAATAAATGTACTGAGGTGGTAGTAAAAGGCTATTCAGCTGTGCAGCTGTGAGGTCAGTTGGGAAATTCGTCCAAGACGATCTTCCAAGACGGTTGCTTGGGTTCTCATCATATAGAGCATTTCTCTATCCCTGGACTTTGTTTGTACGTCCCGCAACTAGGAAAGTGAAAGATGGGCAAAGTCAGACATCAAAGTAACGGAAAAGAGTCCTGCTGTCAGAAAATTATCGAGTGATTTTATGTGTAAATGTTCCTTAATTGTGCCGTGTTCACCAGTTTGTAGTAAGGACGAAAAGGTGTCACAAAAAAGCTGTAGTTCTTTTCAGCCCAGTGTCAGTTTAGTGTGCTAGAACCAAAAATGCACTCCACTGAATTATCGTTAGCAAAATCGTCTGTAATTCGTTATAGGGATTGAGCTTGACTTAGCAGTCTGCTAAAGGCACAACTGCTGCAGACACATCGTGCTCGGTCTGGTTGGCAGTCTAGATCTAACTACTGCCGAGAAGCTTATCCGGCTTCAATTCCGACCCTACTTTTCACTCATGTTCTCGTTCGTTTATTCGCTAAACTATACCCGAGTATTTAGCTGACCGTCTCCCTTTTCGTTCTCATCTCTAAATCCGTTTAGCTCAATTCAATCACTGTCATCCACTGATTGGTTAACGAACCGAATTCGGTTAGGCCTGAGGGAGAAGTTATTTGTGTCCGGCAACAGCCAATGAGAACCAGGCTAATTGTCGCATTATTCAGTGCCCACTTGTTCGAGCTTGTCCTGCTCTACGGGCTTAAGGAAAGACTAGCCGAATAGGGAGGGGTCACATATCCAAACTGAAAGGTAGGGAGAACAAAATCATCCGATCGAATCACAGTAGGTTTATTCAATTTTTCTGCGTTGAGACGAAGTGTGAACATTAGATTAGTGTCATAATGCCATCCACTCACGGGTTTCTCCTAATCGGATCAAGCATTTGAACACAGTACTTGCTATCACACTACCGGTGCCCCTTCTATGGTCAATCTTATTAGATCAGAGAACAAGCACGGGGGAATGCACATCGTTTGACCAAAAAAGGTACGTTCATCGTGCGTGATCAGTTCTCATCCTGGTGAATAAATTTAATTTTCATATTTGTCCAATAGCATTACCTTTATCTTTGGTTAAGTTCATTCTCACTGGCCTTGTTTGATTTGTTGAAAACGACGCCTCGGGCAGCACCGCCACCACCTAGGCGCATTTCTGTCGATGCCTGACCTACTGAAGATTCTTTCGCTGTTCAACCTTTTTAAGTTTAAGTGGGTAACGTGGCATCAATTGGCCTGCTCCAAGTACTTGTACATAAAATGAGAACAAGTGGAAGCAGAGCAAGTAACAGAACCCCAACTTTTTTCTACTGGATATGTGTCTGTCTGACTTTTTCACGCAATGAGCGTACATTTGTAGCTTCTAAAATGCAGCATTCCAAAAATAACCCATTCATCACGCTCTATAGACTTCTGGTGTGTGAAATCTCAGTTATTTGCAGACCAATTCGATAATGACGGTCCGGAACCGGCCTGTATCTTACGAAACACGGAATAACGACAACCCTGTATTTTTACGCTTTGTCACGTGACACCTAGACTACAGTCCTTTACGATGCTTTTATGATGAACATACCATTCGATGTTAATCATTTTAAAGTCTTCCACCTGAGAACCAATAAAAACGTTATGGTTCCAACTTTACACGACCAACAGCGACGAAAAGGGTGGCCATTAAGAAATGAAACTTGGTGAACGAATTTATTAAGGAAATGGTACTAACAAGTGGGAACCGAAGAAAATTCAAAAATGTCGATAGAAAGGCAAAGCCAAGAAGTGATGAAAAACAATATTTTTGGCAGGAAAAGAGGGTCGATTCCCAGTAATGTAATTCGAATCTGAGCCTTTAAGTTACATCTATCTTGTATATAAATCCAACCATCAGGAGAACCTGTACGGTTAAACGTTTCAACAACCAAGCTTATAATTTCGACGTCCTCAAAATTTTTGTCAACAGACCGATATACAGTTGCAGTGACACATTCATTGGCAAGATGAGCGGAAAGCTGAATGGATTTGTTCTTGAATATTTTCCAAAGTTCCTTTCGTCAATAAATTCTCAACCAACTTATCTTACCCAGCCTTAGAGCAAAGCAAAGCTGGTCCTAGCGACAGGCCATCTAGCTGACTTCGGGGCATATTGTCCTATCTTGTTCGATAAAAATCATCCATGACTGCTTGGAGCCAGTGAAGGGTTGCACGTGCAGATGCACCTTGTGGGCACATGAAACTTTAATCCAACTGGTCCCACTACTGCGGGACTGGGATTTCCTCGGAAAGACTGAAACATTTAGTTGGTTTGTCTTTTAAACCCGTAAGACTCACTTATGGTCCTGGATTGATGAGTTTCAGTTTCTTGGCTGAACGAATTTTTAACAGTCTGCAATATCTGTCTTCTTGCTGCGCCATTCAGTTGGAAAGCACGCACAGGTTTGAACTTGACCTGAACTTGGCCTGTCATCAGTCGGAAGCGGAGGATTTTCCATCGACAACTGTATAGGTTCTTTGAATGGACGCTATTCAACAGCCCAAGACCGGTTTTGTCCGTCTCGGGGTTCACCAAGTAGGTGTAGTCCTCGAGGTTCTGTTTCACCTGAACCCAACTTGTACGAAGTTCACAAGCCAGGTCAATTAAACTTTAAACTGATTCTAACAAGAGACCCAACCTAAAAAAATTAAATCGTGCAAATTAGTGCGTTTTGCGAATTTCACACAGTTTGAATTCAAGCAGAGTATAAGGTCGACGGAAACTTAGGCACTGCGTCTACCCGGTAAGTTCCAAGAAGGGCGAAACCGGTTATCGTTTGTGGGATGGTTGTAAAAAACCCTATGATTATTGCTTCTCCTCGAATACCATATTATTTGAAACATGAGGAGGTCTGTCGCAGCACATTACGTTTAACAATATCATTAAAAAACGAGAGCTTTAGCTGAGATTCAGACGTACCCCCCTGAAAGCCAAATTGGTGTGCAAATTAGTGCAGTTGGCGAACTGTTTTCGAAATATGCCAAAAAGAAGCAAGATATTTTCTACTGACTTACTACTTACTGGTGGTGCACGGACTCTTTCAAAATAGAATTGCTGTTTGTCATAGAATAACTGCAGATTAGAAGTATCAAATTGCTAATTAAACGCTTCACCCAGAACCTGTCCACAACAGATCTGTTTCAGTTGCTCCGAGACTAACTCTAGAACACAAAGCTTTGACTTTCAGAGAAGCAGCTCAAACTGACACAATCACACTTTTATGAGGTGGTTAGGGAGAGTGGTGGACTTCCTATTTATCGTAGTATTTCGTTCTTTGCTTGAACTACCAGTGACTCACTGTCTTGCATACTCGAGTTTTTAACTCCTTTCTGATAGACAGACGTTCCGTAAATTTTTTATATACACTAAACACGGCAAAGCTCTCCACTAACGATGATTCTAGTTATCTCACTCCATGGACTAGAATATAGCTTTCGGGGGAATTCGTCAACAGTGTACATCCTCGGCCATCCAAGGAGTCCCTTAGCTGAGGTTGGATCCAAGCGATTAACGACAGACTGAGCAACGCAGGCTGTACTCGACCGGAACATTGCATTCGATCAGGCAACTATAGCAATACGAGTGTGTTGGGTTTGGAGTGCGCGATTCCTCAGCGAATGCCTTCGTGATAGTCAAAACCAGGGCGTCACTCGACTAAGAATAAAGCACCTATAGGGTGCTTTTTTGTGTCGCAGACTTGGATAGTTTATTTTGATGCTTTTTTCCGGTCCAAAGATAGACTTCCTAGATGAGATAATGGTCCATGAGATTTTTCATAGTTTTATCTCCTGTTATTCAAATTCGGTTTATAGTGAGCACATTTCATAAACTTAGAACCATGTACTGTTTAGTTAGTACGTACGTCTGCTAACGAAACCTGAGCGAAGCAGAGTTTCTTTTCTTAGCGAGTATAGTACCAGAATATAAATTGGATACAAGGAGTAAGTAATGATGAATCTGAGCTAGCGGTACA